TATTTATTTATTTATTTATTTATTTATTTATTTATTTAATATTGCTTGAAGTTTTTCTTTCCTTGGGTTTTTTCTGTTGTACTTTCCTCTAGATTGCTCTTTCTCTGATCTTTAAATCACTGGATGCTTCTAATCTTTCAAATACTAGCTGAAAATCATTTCCACAAAGAAATCTTTCCTGAATATTTAGTTTAAAATACCTTAATGGCAAAGTCACTTTCTATTTTATTACTATTAATTCATACTAGTTCTTATTGATATCTTCAATGTATCATCATTTACTCATATATTTTCTTTCCACACTAGAATGTAACAAGAATAAGAATCCTATCTATCTTATTTATTACTGTATCCCAAATATCATCCACATGCTTAAACAAAAAACAATATTCAGTTAATGCTTGTTGGATTAAAGGATTAAGTGTTTTCCACCTGTACTATTATTCTCTTTCATAGGTTTTTACTTACGTTAAGAAGAATATGAGGTGTGAATTTATTAATTTAGTGTCCTATCAGGTATGAAATATTTGGCTATAAGGGGAAAAAAACAAAACGCTCTGCTGCTACAGCCACTGCCTTAAGCATATGATTTGATGGAGTGGGGAAAAGTGTCTCTATCTTTATTTCAACTTCCAAATAGTTTCTTAAATCTTAATGTAGAAAGTTAAATAACTAAAAATTAGGGTTGGTGGTATAAGAAAAGAACTGAATTAAATATCCTGTTTCTTTTTGAAATTGAAACATTATAATGTTTGCAAATAGATAGTTAAGGCAATGTTTTGATTATAAATTCAACTGGCTTTGATTGTGATTTTCCTTCTATTTGTGAAGGACTTCAGAAAGAAAATCTAATTCTGATTAATCCATGATTGAAGATTCTCTCTATATAAAATTCCAGATGTTGAAAAAGGTTAATATTCCCTCAGTAAACAAAGCAATAAGTTCTAAAAGGTCATTTAGATTGTTTGCCTGGTATATTGTTTACAGATATTCTTCACCTGTTAATATTATCATTGTTGATAATTCTTTTCAGATCATGATTAAACACTTTATGCTCTATGTAATTATTCATGTTAATATTTACCTAGTAAAATATTTTTCTTACAGGAAGATAAATAGTTGCTGCAAAGAACACTGACAACTTCAAAGCAAAATGAAGTTCTTTCTGTTGCTTTCAGTCATTGGGTTCTGCTGGGCTCAGTATAACCCAAATACCAAGCCTGGACGGACATCTATTGTCCATCTGTTTGAGTGGCGCTGGGCTGACATTGCTCTTGAATGTGAGCGATATTTAGCTCCCAAAGGATTTGGAGGGGTTCAGGTGGGTATTATTCTTAGTATAAACTGCAAAGTTTGCTGTGCTTATAGTAAATGGTATTATGATCTGTATCTGTGAAGCTGGAAGATTTTACTGCACAAATAGGTACTCTAAAACGGTTTACTGAGGAAGAAAAAAATTTAGTATTATTGACAACTTTATGTTTTGTTTCTGATATAAACCTTCTTCAGGAGGACATTTCCAATGTGGTAGTTAAAAATGTAGCTGTATATGCAAAGATTCAGAAATAAGTTTAGATCATTGATTATGTTATAGAGTATCTGATGATATAAAGTAACCCATAATATGATACTTATTGTTTATTTGTAGATCTCTCCACCCAATGAAAATGTTGTGATTAATAGCCCTTTAAGACCTTGGTGGGAAAGATACCAACCAGTTAGCTACAAGTTATGCACAAGATCAGGAAATGAAAATGAATTCAAAGACATGGTGACTAGATGTAACAACGTTGGTGTAAGTGAATTAAAATTTCCTTTAAAAACATTATTTAGGAAAATTCTCTCTCTTGTCTCCTGTTCCTTATGAGCAGAATATTTTCCATAGTTTTTTATTTTATTTTATTTTACTTTACACTTAAGCTATAACTAGAACTTAATTGTTACCTATGTTTAGCTTTTGTAAATCTTTGTATATGTACCATTTGTCTACTAAAGAAAATTTCAATCAAAGTTTAAAGCCAAAATTATTTATAAAGCAAATATAACTGTACACATTTCTGGGGAATACTTTCTAGTTAGGAATTGGAAATTCCAGTTGCAATATTTGTTATAATTTTTATGTGGCTTGTATATGCACCTATAATTTCTGGGTCTTCTTCCCCATAGGTTTTTTGATGGTAAATAGTTATATTATGAGAGATTTACCTTCCTCTCTTTAGATGCTAAGTAGATAATAGAGGCTAGCTGCTTCTTTCTTAGGATGATGCATGGAAATTTCAAAAACCAATGTTCTCTCCTGTCTTCTATGATTCTGATCTGTCCCCCCAAAAGGCTATTTGCATTTTTTCATAGTTATGGTAGTTTTAGTTACCAGTTTGTCGTTTACCAAGAGGGTAAAATGCAGATAGGTATTCAGTTCACATGGATTTCCCTTCACACTTAACTTTTGGTTTACTAGGAAGGTAAGTTAAAAAATAACAAATACCAGTTTTGGAGTGTGATTAACATGCTGTAAACTTTAGTCGATAATACTATAGATTTCTACTTCTCTAAAGACAAACTGAAATAGAAACTTTGTTTTTCAGGTCCATATTTATGTGGATGCTGTAATTAATCATATGAGTGGGAATGGTGTGGGTGCAGGAACAAGCAGTACTTGTGGAAGTTACTTCAACCCTGGAAATAGAGATTTTCCAGCAGTCCCATTCTCTCATTGGGATTTTAATGATGGTAAATGTAGAACTGGAAGTGGAGACATTGAGAACTATAATGATCCTTATCAGGTAATTAAAGAAAAAAACCACAGTGATTGGAATAAAGAGCTATCCGTGCCTTTTATTATCCACATGAAGCTTATTGATCTTCATTTTAAATACTGGTTTAGATTCCTTATGAAAATAAGGATTCCAAGTCTGACTCTTTAAAAATTAGAAACTCAAATCAGTATTTAAAATATTTTTCCCAATTAAATTTGTCCCAATAAGAAAAAAAAAAAAAAACCTCATCTACTTTATTTCCTACATACTCCATTTTTTCTAATACATCAAAGGTATGTCCATACTAGAATGTCAGTATGTTCAGTTCCCAATGCAAAAAAGACACTATAGAAACACCTGTTAATGAATAAATGAATGAATAATCAAATGGATTGTCAGGTTAAGGTGGTGTTTTGTGTATCAATCACAAAATTTTTACCTCAATAGGTCAGAGATTGTCGTCTGGTCGGTCTTCTTGATCTTGCACTGGAGAAAGATTATGTGCGTTCTAAGATTGCTGAATATCTGAACCGCCTCATTGACATTGGTGTAGCAGGGTTCAGAATTGATGCTTCTAAGCACATGTGGCCTGGAGACATGAAGGCAATTTTGGATAAACTGCATAATCTGAATACAAACTGGTTCCCCGAAGGAAGTAAACCCTTCATTTACCAGGAGGTACATCAGTACATATATGTATATGTATTTCATAGGTATATGAAAAAATATAATTTAATTAATTAGAAAATAAATGGTAGATTTAGTTAAAGATACAATTTCTGTAGTTTAATCGCTGTATCATTTGTATAGAAGAGTGTTCTTTAACCTTCTTTCATTGGAACAGCATCTAACATCTAACTCTTTATCACAAGAGGTTTTATGGAAGTGCCGAGAATTCATTTAGGCTGCAAACATCTGTGTCATTTACCGTCTCCCCAGAGACCATTAGAAAAGACAGATAATAACATAGTTGCTATCTTGAGCCAGTCTGAGTTTAAATCTTGGCTATAGCACTAGTAGCTGTGTTCACTTAGGCAAGTTGATTAACCTCTGTATGCAACATTTTATTTTCAAGTGAAGAAAAGGGATAGTGATAATAGTTATGTCTTTGTCTTTGTCCAACAGTTAAATGAGTTAATATTTATCAACCACTTAGAAATGTTTTCATCCAGATATCAAGTGCTATATAAGTATGACCTATTGTTATCATTTATGTACAATACTAAATTAGGTCAACATTCTCACAGGACAACAGGTCACCTTGTATCATGTTATTTTTAATATTGTAGCATATAATTTAGCCAAAAAGGAAGAATCTTGATATAAAGAAAACCATTTTGGGTATTTCAAATAACATAAATAGTTTCAAGTCATTTTCTACATAATGTTAACCTTTTGGTTAAAATTCTTTAAAGTTCTTATTAAAGTAATATTTTTCTTGTATTTCTACTAGGTAATTGATCTGGGTGGTGAGCCAATTAAAAGCAATGAGTACTTTGGAAATGGCTGTGTGACAGAATTCAAGTATGGTGCAAAATTAGGCACAGTTCTGCGCAAGTGGGATGGAGAGAAGATGGCTTACTTAAAGTAAATGAAATACGATTTGTCTTTTAAATTATTACACAGATGTATTAGTCTTATTATTCCAATCTGAGTTATCTTCTTTGGAACTTATTCAGAATTTTTAAAGATTCAATTACTAATAATAAGGGTTATAGTTTCCCAAATTCCAATGTATCATCTTTATTATTTAGAATGTCAATCATGAGGATATCTCAAAACCTCAAACATAACCTAGAGACTTTAATCTATGTCTTATATAACTCTACTATATTTGACTAGTGTTTGTATACAATATGTGAAGGCCATGCTATTATTAAAATGATTGTATCATTTATAAAGTACCTAAAATGTGGCTACATTATGGAGTTTACATATATTTTATCAATTAATTAATTTCAAATATTAGAATGTTTATATTATAACAATATAATATTGAAACCTGATTTTAACCCAGTTTCCCATTCTGTATGATGTGATATGGATGTTGATCCTTCTGAAGTCTCATCTAAATTATACTGAAACCTCTAAAAGGACTTTTTATAACAAAAATCTTATACCTGTAACATGAATATAATACAAGTAATCCATACATATATACATACATTGAATGTATAGTATATCTATATATATAGTATATCTATTTATCTATCTCTATATATATTTATTTTTTTATTTTAAAAACACTCCTATACAATAATCATTTAATTAGAGACAGAATTTCATTTGGGGATGCTATACCAAAAGAAATACACATTTAGGTTACCCTAAAACTATTGGAAAAGAATACATGTATTTTTGTGTATATGTGTTTTAATAGGAACTGGGGAGAAGGATGGGGTTTCATGCGTTCTGACAGAGCACTTGTCTTTGTGGACAATCATGACAATCAGCGAGGACATGGAGCTGGAGGAGCATCTATTCTAACATTCTGGGACTCCAGGTAGGAAATAAAATCCACCACCCTCCCTATTTTTTTACATTTGTTTTAATGACATTAAAAGTATTGTTTTCTTCTATGACGATATCATTTTATAACCTTCAGACTGTACAAAATGGCAGTTGGATTTATGCTTGCTCATCCGTATGGATTTACACGAGTAATGTCAAGCTTCCGTTGGCCAAGACATTTTGAAAATGGAAAAGTAAGTTTTTGTGCTGTCCAATATATATTTTTCTCAAGAAAGGAAAGGCAGTTTTGTTGTAATTGTACATGGCACTATTATTTTTACTATTTATCAAGTATTTAAGTATAAACCTGATGCAGGATGCTTTTAGCAATTCAATTCATATTATGGTCTCTGTTGTCAAAGATTATTGTAGGCTATATCAGAAGTATGACAAACATCCCCTCCCCAAAGAAACACTTTAAAATAAGGATATAGTAAGTAAAATATGTACTTCTCATACGTACCTACTTCATAGAGTTGATATGAGGATTACAAGTTAACACTTGTAAAGAACTTAAAACAGTACCTGCCCATAGTATGATCAATATAAATATTTGTTAAATACTTTTTTTTTTTAAAAAGTTGTATGGAATGCAAAGAAGTTGTTCAGTTGAACTTTTGTTAAATAGGGAAAATATCTTATAAGTGGAAGGAAAATATATGTATTAAAGAAGGGAAATTTACAGACTATTTTGGAAAAGGTAAAGATGAGAAAAATATTTGGGGTAATATATGGGGTATTGAGTAGCAATTTGAAAAACGAACTGAGAAATAAAATTATGAATGTATTGGGAAAGTTATTGGAATTTTTTTTAAAACTGAAGATTTCAGATGCAGCATTGTACAGCAACTTCATACCTAAACTAAAAATCTTTTTCGGGGCGCCTGGGTGGCGCAGTCGGTTGAGCGTCCGACTTCAGCCAGGTCACGATCTCGCGCTCCGTGAGTTCGAGCCCCGCGTCGGGCTCTGGGCTGATGGCTCAGAGCCTGGAGCCTGTTTCCGATTCTGTGTCTCCCTCTCTCTCTGCCCCTCCCCCGTTCATGCTCTGTCTCTCTCTGTCCCAAAAATAAAGTAAACGTTGAAAAAAAAAAATTTAAAAAAAAAAAAAAAAAAAAAAAAAAAAAAAAAAAAAAAAAAGAAAAAATCTTTTTCACTTCAAACCAGACTGATTTCTTCCATTTTTTTCTCTATCTTTAAAATTACCAATCTGAAAATCACAAGATTAAAAATTTGATCAATTTAGTAAAGAATATTGTGATGTATTTACTAGCACATTTATCCAAAAGGAAGAATGAAAGAAATGAATATTTATTCACCAATTATCATATTCAAGGCATTTTTCACATAATTATTTAATTAGGCACAGAGAAGTTATGTATGTTAACTAAGTTTTCTTTTTTTTTTTTTAATGTTTATTTACTTATTTTGAGAGAAAGAGAGTATGAGCAGGGGCGGGGCAGAGAAAGAGGGAGACAGAATCCCAAGCTGGCTCTGCACTGTCCAGCACAGAGCCAGATGGGCTTGAACTCACAAACCACGAGATAATGACTTGAGCCAAAATCAAGAGTATAGTGCTCCACTGACTGAGACACCCAGTCACCCCAATGTTATCTAAGATTTTTTATCTAATAGTAATAGAATCTATGTTTTCATTCTGCTGTCTCTGACACTACAGTTCTTGTCATTTCAATGTCATTCACTTTTTTCCCAGAGCTTAGCCATAACAATTCCTTGGAAAGAAAGTGAAGAGGTAAAAAAAAAAAAAAAAAAAAAAAAATCTGACCTTTAATATATGGCACTAAGAGAATTAGCAATTGGGAAGAAAATGGTGAGGACCTGGTAAAGGGCTATAAAAATACTGAAGGAGTTAGTATTACTAAATGAAGATGCTATAGACACAAGTAAGACAGATTGGGTTTTGTGTAATGAAGAAGAAAGAAACAAATACATGAAATGTTAAAAATCTAAGCTTTTTTTCCTTTAATTAAGGATGTTAATGATTGGATTGGGCCACCAAATAATAATGGAGTAATTAAAGAAGTTACTATTAATCCAGACACCACTTGTGGCAATGATTGGGTCTGTGAACATCGGTGGCGTCAAATAAGGTAGGAATTCTTATTTAGAGATGACCTCTAATATTAAACATTCTTAAAATTTTATTTTAAACTGTTAAATGTATTCATCAGCATTTTATGTGGTATTTTATCTTTAGGAACATGGTTATGTTCCGTAATGTAGTTGATGGCCAACCTTTTAGAAACTGGTGGGATAATGGTAGCAATCAAGTAGCTTTTGGAAGAGGAAACAGAGGATTTATTGTTTTTAACAATGATGACTGGTAAGTAGATATCAATTAGAAGTAACATTTTAAATAACATTTATACTAGTATGTTCTTGGTTTACTACTTTCTCTTATTACACACTTTTTTTATATCTGAAAAAATTCTTTAGTCAGCAGATTAAGAAAACACAGGAATCTGAAAAGAACCAGAAGAAAAATGATGGCTCTTATTCTTCTGATCTCTTCCTTATTAGGACTTTCTGTTCTAAGTGGAGTTATTCTATGTGCACCCTTGCATATCATGTGCAGATATTCTGCACATGTATGTTTCCACACATATACCCCACACAAAATACACAGAGTAGTTGATATAAAGGTTGTGAAATCACTAGAAGAACATGTCATAGCCCCTTTCCTCTTTCCTCCCCTTTTTTAAATAATGGAAAAATATTGCTTCAGTATCTTTTTTTAGCTCTTTTTTTCAAGTACTCTTTTATCTAATTTTTGGTCTTCTTTTTTCATTTCCTTGTCTCTCTCTGACAAATAATATGTTTTTTAAAGCATATGTATAAAGGGCATGTATCTTATGGTCCATCAGTGACCCGCCTCAGGAGATTTTTGAGTTTTAACTCTGAGACTTCTTATTGGCTTTCATTGGTCATACTTATATCCTCTGCCTCTAGTATATTGATTCCCTAATATATAGAACTATAGCTTAGAAGACGTCTTTTAAGCAATTGAAATGTCTCAGTCCAAGGCCAACTTTCACTCATGCTTAACTCATTCTAGCTTAAATTATATTTTGCTGACAAAAAAATAAATTGAATATATCTCTTTCTTACCAAAAGAAGCCATGGCTAGTCCTTTCATTTCTATCTTTTCTGGATGAGAGAAGCAAAATAAATTTATGAGACCTCTTTTTTTTAATGTTTGTCTATTTTTGAGAGAGAGAGAGAGCGAGCGCACATGTGAATGGGATGAAGGACAAAGAGAGAGAAGACAGCCAAATAGGCTCCACTCTGTCAGTGAGGAGCTGGACTTGTGGCTTCATCTTAGAAACAGTGACATCACGACCTGAGCTAAAGTCAAGAATCTTTTATGACCTAAGCCAAAATCAAGATTCACTTAACTGACTAAGCCACTCAGGTGCCCCATAAATTTATGAGACAGCGTTATATTTAAAACCATATACTTCACAAAATCCAAGATTATTTTTATCTCCAGCCCAAATTCATTTTAGCCTCTCGTGAAAAATATTTTTGAAGAAATAATCAAATTTAAATTTTTGAAAGTAATTATTATTTTCTTAAGTTTAGATGAGAACAAATTTAAAAGATTTGTGTTAACCACAAGAATTGCTTTTATCGAAGGGTGATAATTCACTCAAATCTTCACTGATATTCCTCAACTTTAATTTTGTGGTAATATTCACTATTGACTAGGGAATTAGTAAATCTTTTGTAAGATTACTTTTAGTCCTGGAAAACTGTTCACATCTACTGGAGAGGTTTTTGTATTTGGATTTTCTTCTCACTGAGACTTTGCTTAGAGTTCTACAGCACAAAGTTAACCTTTTAGAGATAGTCTGAATTCTTGCTTTTCATTCTGTTGAATTCAAGTTAAATCTTAAATTTTATTTTGCAGGCCATTATCTTTAACTTTGCAAACTGGTCTTCCTGCTGGCACATATTGTGATGTTATTTCTGGAGATAAAATTGATGGCAATTGTACAGGAATTAAAATTTATGTTTCTGGGGATGGCAATGCTCATTTTTCTGTTAGTAACTCTGCTGAAGATCCATTTATTGCAATTCATGCTGAATCTAAATTATAAAATTTGAAGCAAATACACATAATCAGAGAAAAAACCAAGTGTATTTCTTTGTGTGTGTGTGTGTGTGTGTGTGTGTGTGTGTGTGTGTGTTTGTATTCTTATAATTCATTAATTTTTGGTAAAAGCTATAAGTAACCAACTTGAAAAACTCAGAAAAGCATACAAATCATACATAATTATAAGGTAGCCACAATCAACATCATGTTATATTTTAGAAGACTTATGATGACTTATTTGTCAAAAGAATTTCTAAGAATTCAGAGAGGCATCTTGATAAATATGTTTGTTGCCATTAACACCATTTGCCCAGTATGTATTTCTGTATGTCTTCCATCAAGTATTTCTAAGAATTAGTTAGGGATAGTTGATTTAATGATGATTCCCATACAGAGTTAGAACACTTGAGTGGTTTTAACAGTATGAAAGCCCTTTTACAGTTAATAAGTTAAAAACTTAAATTATGCAAGGTATCATTCTTAATTGTATGGAGCTCCCAGGAATATTCTTTCTGTATTTTTTTCTCTTTATCTTTGTAATGTCTTTAACTTGATGTTTTTGTGTGTGTGTTTTCTTTCATCTCCTAACCCCCAGTATGAGTTTATTTATTTATTTAGGACTTTCATTACACCATATGCTCTGGATGTTTTTCCTGATCCTCTAGCTATTCATTTTCCTTCACCTTGACTTTAAATGTGTAATTTGGTAAGGATCTCATCTGGGTCTTATAACTCTCAGTTGTTTTCCTTATGCTTGAGTGATAAAATAAAACCATAATTGTGAATCTGTCTCTTCTTTTTACCTGTAAATTTATCTGTACTTGCCCCTGTTATTTTCTTCTTCCTGCCTGTCATAATGAAGAAAGTGTACTTCATTCTACCAAAGGCCATTCTTCTCACTTGTGTTAATAATACCATTTCCTTTTTTATCTTGTGGGGAAATTTCTTTCTTTCATTATTCTTTCTCTTCTGATTTAGTAATATTTCCCTTTCTGCTTAGATTACTCCCCTCAGATTACATGTCTTCCAACTAACAAATCAATGACTCCCTCCCCAGTTCTTCCCAAATTAAATTAATTCCTGGTTAACCCTGATTTGTTAGGTCATAAATGTCATTGAATTTCAATAGAAGCAGAAAAGTATGTGACAAAATTCAACATCTTTTTATGATAAAATCTCTCAATAATTAGGTATAGAAGGAATGCACCACAGCATTATAAAAGCCATATATGACAAGCCTACAGCAAACATCATGCTCAATCATGAAAAGCTGAAAGCTTTTCCTCTAAAATCTGGAACAAGAAAAGGATGTGTCATAGACTATGGGTCTAAAGTTCTTTCTTGTCTAGCAAGACAAGAGAATGAAAAGCGAGAGATGGCTAATATCTGGGAAAAGACAACAGCCCCGAATAAGGGTCCTTGCCCTGTATTTACTAAGATCAGAAGGCTTACAAACATGATGGTCATGCACAAAAAGACAAAAAAACTGGGAACATTAACTTGGGGATGTGAGGGAAAAGGGGGGTTTTGAAGGTATACGGTGTTTAGGATTTGGGTCAATATAAAACAAAATCCTGGCGCCAGGCAGATGGGCAGATGGGCAGTTGTTAACAGCAGGCAGGAGGCCCCATGTCTGTTTATTGTAGCTAGCCTAGGGGATAAGAAAGATAGGGGGAATAACCTCAGAGTTAACAAGGCACCTTTTCTTTTGTTAATCATTTCTGCTCTGGGCTGCTTCCCCTGCAGCACAGCAGTCTATAGGGCAACTTACCTGTTTACCTAACTTGGTCCTTTCCTCCTGTGAAAGCAGCTTTTTGCTATAGTACTAAATTGAGGGGCTCTTCTTCCCTGAACATCTAATCTTGCTTACCTCATATACCTTTGTATTGGGTGTCTTTGCACGCCTCTGGGGCCCTTGCCCCTCCTTCTCTATTCTGGGTGCTCTGCACCCTGTCTCTATTCTGGCATGCCTTTGCACCTCCCTATTTTTGGTGCCTTTAGCCTCCTTATTCCTGGGGTGCCAATCTTGTTTACCCAAATTCAGGTGTGAGCATCCTATGGCTTTTTATTTCTTTATGCCTTGTTAACCCATTGATGTAAGCCCAGGGAATTTCTAAGCTTATTCCCCACAAGGATGCCCATTCTTACCACTTCTATTCAACATACTACTAGAAGTACTAGCCAGAGAAATAAGGCAAGACAGAAAAATAAAAGGCTTCCAAATCAGAAAATAAGTAAATTGTCTCTGTTTGCAAATGACATAATCTTATATATGGAAACTCCTGAAGACTTCACCAAAAAAACTCTTAGAACTAATAAATTTAATAAGTTGCAAGATACAAATTAGGCATGCAAATATCAGTTGTACTTCAATACACTAACATGAACTTTCAAAAAGAAAAATTAAGAAAGCAATCTCATTTGTAATAGCCTGGAAAACAATGACATCCTTAGGAATAAACTTAACCAAGTAGGTGGAAGAATTCTATATGCTGAAAACTATAAGACATTAAAGAAAGAAATTGAAGAAGACACAGATAAATGGAAAGATATCCTGTGTTCTTGGTTTGGAAAAATTAGTGTTAAATGTCCATACTACCCGGGCACCTGGATGGTTTAGTTGCTTAAGTGTCGTCTCTTGATTTTGGCTCTCACAGTTTGTGAGATTGAGCTCTGCATCAGGCTTTGTGCTGATAGTGTGGAGCCTGCTTGGTATTCTCTCTGTGTCTCTCTGCTTCTCCCTTGCTTGCACTCTTGTTCTCTCAACATAAATAAATGAATGTCTAAAAAAATGTTCATACTACTCAAAGTGGTCAATTGATTCAATAAGATTCCCATCAAAATTCCAATGGCATTTTTTCAAGAAATAGAAAAAAAACCCTAAAATTCATATGTTTTCAAGATCTTTAAGTTATAAGAGCAGTCAATTTTTTTGTTAGCTATGCCCCTGTTATATCAACCTAGTATTCCTTTTTAAAGTTTTATTTAAAATTTATTTATTTATTTTGAGAGAGAGAGAGCAAGTGAGAGCAGAGGAAGGGCAGAAAGAGAGGGTGAGAGAGAGAATCCCAAGCAGGCTCTGTACTGTTAGTGCAGAGCCTAATACAGGGCTTGAACTCAAAAGCTGTGAGATCATGACCTCAGCCAAAATCAAGAGTCAGACGCTTAATCTACTGAGGCGACCAGAAGTCTCCAACCTAATATTCTTGACACGGGGAAAATGATGCCACACTGATCAGGATATAATACATTTGAAATCCACTTATGTTATGTACTTAGTGATTTCTCATACCAAGAAACTTGTTAACAGTTTCTTCCTTTAGATGTTTCATTTTATGTATTGAGGCAATTATTCATGTGAACATTGAGTTATTTCTCTTTTCATGGAAGGGAAAATAACTATGTTGAAAAATTATTTTTCACGTTTAGCCTTTCACTTCCATGTTAAAAGTGAACCACTAAACATCATCACAGAATATGATTACAAAGAATGATTGAGAAAAGATAAGTGACTTTCCAGAGTAATGTCAACATTATTATTATTAGTATCATTATTATTATCATTAAAGTTCCAAATAAAGTATATCTAGATGCTAGACCAATACATGATAAGAGCTTCCAAAAAGACACTTACATTCAATAAACCAGATCTCTAAAGAGATCACTTTCTGTGATGTAAGAGATAAATGAGACAGGTTTTGCAAATGATAGTAAAATATCTAAGTATTTAAATCAAAGTTTTTGAGGATTTGTATTTTATTCTTATGGATATGTTAAAATAAATTCTTTCTTCCAATTTGGAAGTGAGTGGAAAAAAATTTCAGGGGTTTAACTCAGGGCTAGTTTTATTGAGTGAATCTCAATTTTTCTGTTTTTTTTTATAAGTTTCTAAAAAAAAGTAAATATAAAGCAGAAAAATCTAGATATATCAGATGTAGCTTATAGTTTGTTGCAGAAAATCCTAAGGTTTTAGAAGAAATCATCTAAGAACTCCAATAAAAACAGTGCTTAACAAAAACAGAAGGGTAAGTGATATATTAAAAGACTTTTAAAGGTCTTTCCCAAGAAATGGAACAGATGAGCAAATACACAGTCTGCTTGTTTTTTTTTTTTTTTTTTTTTTTTTGTCCTTGAACTGAATTTAAACTCTACCACACACGGGAGAATAAAGCCAGAGCCACTCACATAACCTACTTAGGTAAAAATAGGTGTGTTGAAAGGGTTTAGGTTCATACAGCACCACTTACACTAGAATAAAAGGTGATACTTATTATTTCTCTATAATTGTAAATTTGTCAAATCCAACTCATTATTTTTTCTTTGATATTTTTAAGGATCTGTTTGGAGTCATGAAATCATTATATTTTCATAATCAATTCAAGGGATATTTTAAAAACACCTCTCTGAAACTCAAGTTTCCTCACCTGTAAAATGAATCTAGTATCTGCTTTTTTGTTTGGTGTATTGAATGAGAAATTACATATAATATATTAACCACTATTTCTGGTTAAATACACATTTCTTTGTCTCTTCAGTAAAGATATGTCTCTTAATGCTGAGGGCTGGCAACTTGATATTTGCCTAAAATCTAACTCAAACAGGGGGGGAACCCACAAAACATTGGAATTGGAGCAGAAAGTAACATCTATACTAATGTGAAATTTTGCCAGGTTCAACCTATATGCCGTTGGCTGAAAGTTGACAGAAAATTCTTATCTTGACTATAGTGTTTCTAATTCAGTTCTGGGTTCTCTCTGTAGGAATTCTTCTATGAGAAACTTCAGCCTCAGCTTTGTGTATTATAATCTCACATGTGCTATAAGAGCTACAAATAAAGATTCAACAAATCTCTATGTAATAAACAAAATGCACGTCAATCAATGTAACATATTAGTTAAGTGCATAGCACTCTTTTAGGTACTTTGAAATATATTATCCATGTTTAAGTATATAGTATCATTGGGAAAAAAATATAACTATATGATACATTAAAGAAACTAGAGA